TCCGTCCATCTATCGCTGTTCTCCATACTTGCGAAATAAGTTGACAATGTTTTCAGTATGTTCACATGGCGTCTTAAATCATGGCGGGTGGGGGGGTTTTCGTACGCGTTTGGCCAATCAATGTCTACTTGCGTCACGATTAGTACCAGTTGTGCTGGTTAGACCCTGATCCGGAGTAGGAGCTAATTTGGTTCTCGAAAAAGGCAGTCCGGTACTAAAATCGCACCCAGTTCCGGCGGTGCGAAAATGCCTAAAAGTGGGTAGTTCCACAATTAGTTCTGGTAATATGAAAAGGTTCCCGCGGTGCGAAAGGCCCCATTGACACTCTATCTACAATCTCAATTAGGAGTGTAAATGGTCCACTTGAGAGATAGGTGGCGGTAATGCACTTATAAGTCTGCGATCTGCCGTAAAGCAAGAAGAAGAATTTTATGACTGACAGACTGCAACGGTTTGACTTAAAAATCTTAGTTTGTGTTCTACTGAAGAAACAAAGTCACCTACATCTTGGATGCTCTTAGGGTTAGCAGATAAACATCAAATTTTCATTTTTGGGTGAACAACTCTTTTAAACAAATATTTAAAAAATAAATAGGTTTGAGTTTTGTAAACATTAGTCTCTTTTGGTTTTCCCCATTTCAGGTGTTGGATGAAGCTGATAGAATGTTGGACATGGGCTTTGAACCTCAAATCATGAAAATCATTCTGGATATTCGACCCAACAGACAAACTGTTATGACTAGGTAATGGCTCAGTGGTTTGGTTCTTTTGAATGGTGTATGGATGAATTTGACATTACTTTTAACTTATGTTGCATTACGTTGTTTGTTGCTCCAAAAACGCTGAAGGGTTATTTATGTCTTAAGTTAGTTAATTTTAAGGCTGAATCACATGGTATCGACAGACGCCAACCAACACAGACAATCACTAAATTTGTCACTTCTCAGACTATCCACTACCTGACAACACAGACTGAACATCAATCTGCATTTTTCAAGTTGTAGTATGCCTGAGGAAAAAAATTATGGGTTACACACTAGGGGTGGAACGGCACACAGATGTCACGGTTAGGTACGTACCTCGGTTCGGGGGTCACGGTTCGATACGATTTCGGTACAACAGGAATAAAAAAAAGAAATCTACTATGCTCGGTTTCTTTTCATTTATTTTGAACCGACAGTTGTACAAATTAAAAAAAATGTCCACCTAGATGTGAAAATACGAAATATTATTACATTGTTATATATATATATATATATATATATATATATATATATATATATATATAAAATCTGCAGTACATACAAGGAATTCATTCTTGAAATCTATTTGATACAGTTTACAGATAAACAAGAGAAAAAAACAGTGCGACACGTAACGTAGCCTATATAGTATATACGCTGAGTATCAGTTCATTTTTGTGACGGGCTTAATTTGTTCACAGAAAGGAAACTCAGATGGCAGAAAGTGACATCCTATTTGTTTTCTTTATTTTACAAAAGCACAATGTTTTGTTTTCATTGTGAGTGTACACAAATAAAAGCAGACCTTTTATACAGTGATGCATTATTAATAAGACAATAAGTGCTTAAAGTTGATTCTGCTGGTATAAGGAAACATTTAAAGTGATCGCGCCGGCGCAAACACGCGTGCGCACACACACACACACACACAAAACACAGCAGTTCCAGCATTGCTAACTTGACAGCGCAGTTGGTACTTTATAAAAATAAAATACAGTGAACCAAACATCAGCGCGCCCGCCTTGGAACGCGACTGAAGTACAAAGCCTATAATTTACATAATAAATAATAGTTTAGCATTCAGATACGTTACATCGCAAATATGGAAATATTATGGAATATTTGGATTTGTGCTGAATGAGAGAGGTAGGATACACGAGCACAAAGCTCCATTTCGCAAACAGTTGAGTGCACAAGCCTTTAAAGTATACTCCTTTGTCAGTCTGTGAGAGACGCTTTCAGAATCAGCACATGGTCACTGTCTAGTGGGCTTTGTTTTCAAGTGCACAACTTATGGCATTCGCTGTTCTTCTGCTGGCGGCCGGTTATCAAACAGCGTTGCATTGCTGCGGGCACCCCCTTCTGGATTGGGGGTGAATTGCCTGTATTCGTTGTAAGGCCTCATGCACCGAACCGAGATGTCCGTAACTTGAGGGTTCGGTACGAATACATGTATCGTTCCACCCCTATTACACACTGATCCATCAAACTCAACAAACATGTGTTGTCATCGTTCGGCATTTGTTGGTGCAGTGTGAACTAAACTTTAAATGCGGAAAACTTTAAAATATTTAATCTTTTGTCGTGAAGTTTGAATATTTGTATGATTGCCATTTTGCTATATTAATATGTTTTTCTCTTTTGTATTACAGTGCCACCTGGCCAACAGGTGTCAGGCGACTGGCCAAATCCTACCTGAAAGACCCCATGATGGTTTATGTGGGCACCTTAGATCTAGCGGTGAGTTGCAGCCGAGTGTGTATTTATAGTCGGTAACATACAAATACCTGGTCAAATACAGCTTTTCTGTTTAGCCTCCTTATTAAAAGTCCCCAGTTAACTTTGGCATGTCTGTCTCCTTCAGGCAGTAAACACTGTTCAGCAGACAGTTCTGTTCGTGCAGGAGGAAGAAAAGAAAGCCTACATTTTTGACTTCATTGACCGAATGGAGCCTCAGGACAAAGTTCTAATATTTGTTGGGAAAAAAGTAAAGTGAGTTTCTCAGAGTGAAACTTAAATGAGAATAACCATTTTTTTAATTCCACGAAACAGGATATGGGAGGAATTTCTGCAAGCACACTTTCATGTTCTACTGAAATGATATTGCATAATATAATTTCTATTATGATCACTTGATGTGGTAATCAGTCTGTGCCCATCCGTTTGTGTGCTTGAGAAAGGTGTTGCGGGGAAATGCTGCTCTTTTCTAAAAATGAAACTTGGCATTTATCCAATGCCAGAGGGAGTGGCCATTTAATGTGGCCATACTCAATTACTCATCCTGCAAGTACGTTTTCGTATTTAAAGAATTTGCCACTGATGATTCAAACCCACGAAACAGGATATGGGAGGAATTTCTGCAAGCACACTTTCATGTTCTACTGAAATGATATTGCATAATATAATTTCTATTATGATCACTTGATGTGGTAATCAGTCTGTGCCCATCCGTTTGTGTGCTTGAGAAAGGTGTTGCGGGGAAATGCTGCTCTTTTCTAAAAATGAAACTTGGCATTTATCCAATGCCAGAGGGAGTGGCCATTTAATGTGGCCATACTTTCCTCCCCCCACACCCCTGTAATACTGGCACCTTTTGTGGTCATTCAACAGTTGTGCAAACATTAAAACCAAACGCTCACTTTGGAACAGGTTATTTATTACACTTTCAGCCTGACGGTATGATTTAGTGTTTGATCTTGATTTGGCATTTCCATAATTGTATTAAATTCTGCAAGAGCCTAATGTAATGTGGATACTTTTAATAGTTATTCTACTCTGAAGGTGCTGCTTGAGGATCGTTCATCCTAAAACCATTTAAAAAAAAAAAAAAAAAAACTGACCCTGACTACATTACATTACTGTATACCAAACTGTGTTGGATCGAATGTAAAACCATGAAGCAAAACTGGTTAAAGGGGTCATATGATGCAATTTCAAATTTTCCTTTCACTTTGGAGTGTTACAAGCTGTTCGTGAATAGATAAGATCCCTAAAGTTGCAAAGACTAAAGTCTCAAACCTAAAGAGATATTCTTTATAAAAGTTAAGACTTGTCCATGCCCTCCTAAAACGCCTTGTTCAAACACGCCCCCACATGTCAGAGTCAGAGTAGCTTTATTTTCATTCCAGCTCTATACAGTTAGTATACAGTGAAACGAGACAGCGTTTCTCCAGGACCAAGGTGCTACATAGACAAAAAACACAGAACACAGGACTACAAAGAAACTAAACTGGACATAATTAAATTATATTAAATAGGCTAAGTAAAAGTTAAATAAGAACTAAGACTATTAAAAAAAAAAAAATGTCCAAGTCACTGTGTGGGAATATTTGCATAACACTGCCCAAATGTTCATGCAAAGTAAGAAGGCGTAACTTTATTGTTGCTGCCACCGCCGCTGCCATGTCGTGGAGACGCTGTGTGTTTCATTGTGAAAGCAAAACTACTTTGTTTGGTCTTCCAAAAGAGGACACAACTAGAAATCAGTGGTTAAGTTGTATTTACAACACTGTTCCAGAACAGTTCAACCCAAATATTCAGATGTGTGCAGTGCATTTTACGGAGGACTGTTTCCTGAACCTGGGCGAGTAGCCTACAATGCTTCTGTGCACAAAGGCTGTTTCTATAAAGTGGGGCAATTCCAACTTTGCAAGGACAGTCTGGCGATTCTGACTCAGCCTGCAAGTACGTTTTCGTATTTAAAGAATTTGCCACTGATGATTCAAACGCGAGTTTTGGGCAGTGTAGAGTGGCGTTTGTCGTTTCTCCGATCACAAATGCAGACATGGTTTTATGTTTACGTGGCGTGATACGCAGCGCAATGCGTAAAAAGACAGTATAAGTCATTATAATCAGTAATTATGTCCCCACTGGATGCAACAAATGCCTCGGGTTTTATTGGTTTTGTCTCGTCACTCCAGGACACCGCATCACAGTTTGATAAGGGGCGTAACATTTCCGTCACACGCTTGAGGTATTCAGCCAATCACAAC